TTTTAGTCATGAAGTCCTTTGCCTATGCCTATGTCCTAAATGGTTTTGCCTAGGTTTTCTTCTAGGGTTTTTATAGTGTTAAGTTTTATGTTTAAGTCTTTAATACATCTGGAGTTAATTTTAGTGTAAGGTGTCAGGAAGGGGTCCAGTTTCTGTTTTCTGCACATGGCTAGCCAGTTTTCCCAACACCATTTATTAAACATGGAGTCCTTTCCCCATTGCTTGTTTTTGCCAGGTTTGTCAAAGATCAGATGGTTGTAGATGTGTAGCGTTATTTCCAAGGCCTCTGTTCTGTTCCGCTGGTGTATATCTCTGTTTTGGTACCAGTACCATGCTGTTTTGATTACTGTAGCCTTGTAGCATAAAGCTGATTTTAAGAGCACAAAAAAGTTGAGCACAAAGGATAGAATTAAATTCAGCAATCCAGAGTGATAAAGAGGAAAAGATACTGAGTAGGTGCCTTTGACAGAAAATATTACCCAAGTTGATTACCTAATAGTTGGAGATTGAAGTCCTTATATGCTGCAAAAGTGAGAACACTCTGGTGTATGAAGTACACGGTGACATTTGCAGCAACTTGGTCTCTATTCATTACTTAAGAACAATTAACATAGTTAAGTGTAGTCTTTAGTAGACAATCTGCATCCATTTAAATTTAAACATAATATTTTCCACAGTAGTGTAAATATAAGGCCACAGTATTTATTTTGGGTAAATCCTTTAATGTAGTGATTTTAATATCACTGTTACTCATTCTTTTGGAATATGAAGTGTTTTAATGGAATTAAGGCTACAGATAATTTTTAAAATACTGTATCATGACTAATATATTAAAACTATTTATACTGAGATATTTATATCTAATATCCAAAGAAAATTCACTGCCAAATTGTTACAGTAAATATTAATCGTCTGACACCCTTATTAACTGATTCTGTAGGTACAAGTACAGGTCAGTATGATTTTAGTGTCTATTCTTTCATTTTACTAAATTAGTAAAGCAGCATTTACAGAACCAATAAAAACAAGTGAAGCAGCCACCCAAGGACCTTAACACCTCCTGAGTTAGCTGTGTCACAAGCTCAGATAGAAATTCCCACTATATGCACAAAGCTGCATTCAAATTCTTCATCAAAAGGTGCTGGCAGAAGTTGTCAGACACCTTCCAATATAAATCTGCAATCCCATGGACCCCAGAAGAGACAGCAGTAAAACGCTTTATAAATTCTGCTGAGAAAATGCCCCCTTTCCTCATCAGGTTTTAAATTCCATGCTGGGTAGCTATGTGCTTCAGATTCTTTAAAGAGGAATTCCTTGGGGGATATATTTTCTGGCCAACTTGACCAATCCCATATCCGATCTGAGTTTTTCTTCAAGATGCTTTTACCTTCTTTCCTTCTCTCGTATCTCCCTCAGACTGAGAGCTGTTTTTCTCCAATGTCTGTGACAGAGGTAGGCTATCACAGAACTTTCGGAGCTACTCTAACCAAATTCATGTTAAATATCCAGCAGTATTTTTTCCATGTCACTATTGTATTAAAACAATTTTTTTAGATTCAGGGTCTCATTCTGTTGCCTGGGCTGGAAAGCAGTAGCACAAACATTGCTCACTGCAGCCTCCCTTTGAGAAGCAAGGCAGAGGATTACTCGAATTCAAGGAAGTACTTTGGAGACTTCCCAAAGCACTGGGATTACAGGCGTGAGCCACTGTGCCCAGTCCATGTCACCATTATAAACAGAAATGGATTCTATCATTGCTAAAGTGCTGTTCTACCCAGGAGTCCTGCAAGTTCTCTCTCCGCAGCCTGGGGATCCTGCTCTGTAATATGGTGCCAGAGGGTGGCTACAGCAGTCTGGGTCATTGCTTGGCTGTGGTCTAGGGGCTGTGTGTGCCCTCAGTGGTAGACAGTCTAGCAGGCGAGCATAAGGGATATGGGCCTAGGGCTCAGTCTGTCTTTTTGTTGTTGAGTTGTAGAACGTTCTTCATATATTCTGGATAAGCGACCCATATCAGATACACAATCTACAGACATTTTCTTCCATTTTGTAGGCTGCTTTTTCACTTTCTTCTGACACACAAAAGTTTTTAATGTTAGTGAATTCTAACATGTATTTGTTGTTGTTGTTGCTCACGATTTTGTTGTTATATTTAAGAATCCATTGCCAAATCCAAGTTCATGAATATTTACCCGTTTTCTTCTAAGAGTTTTACAGTTTTAGCTCTTATATAGTAGATCCATTCTGAGTTATTTTTTGTATATGAAATATATATAACATATTTTTTTTTTTTTTTTTTTTTTT